TTTGAAACTAAAAAATATAATATTATTTTTTTTCGAAAAATGTTCAATAAAAAATAAGAATTCAATTTATTTAGGAACATTGGATTGTAAAAGTAAAAGCTATATGTAGGTACAACCGATAGTGGCAATAGAACATAATAAAATATTACGCAATAAGTGGACACGGAGTCTTCTAATAGTTTAATAATGATAATATTATTATGCTTTAAAGTTACTTCAATGAATAAATTATGGTTGTTTTTATATGATTTATCTCGGATGGTTAGACATTTTAATAAATATAAAATCCATATAATTATTTAGTTTTGAATTGAAAGAGTTAATTATGTTTAACACGACAACGAGTAAACTGATGTAAGTACTAGGGTTGCCAACTTTGGAATTAAAAAATACCGGCCCAAGTGTACAAAAAAAAAAAAAAAAAGGTCATCATTTTTTAATATTAATATAATAAAATGACGAATAATATAATTAATTACATACGTTAAAATAAAAAATTTATTGACAGTAACATGTGATAATCAATTTCATAAAAATGATAAAATATTAATATATAATATCAAAACTCTCGATCAGGTGGAATTACTGGGTTTTTATAATTTTACAATATTATTACTTTGAAAATACCGGCTTTTTATAGGTCAATACCGGCAACCGGCTTTTTAAGTCTAAATATGTGAAATACCGGCCGGGCCGGGAAAATACCGGCCGGTTGGCAACCCTAGTAAGTACCCGAGTTTATGTATTAGCCATTAAATATTGTATACTATTATAATACTATTATGTTTGATTAAAATTATTGCATGTGCATAAAACTTTCGTTGATTTTATCAGTAATAAAAAGAAGTATAAAATACGGTGAATGGGTGGGCAAGAACCCCATGTGCAACCCTTAAGTACTCCCCTTTTTGTTACTATGAACTACGAAGTATCGCTAATAAATACTTAGGTACGAGCCACGAGGTGTATAACTATAAACAAATTATTAAATGGCTTGTAACTTGTATCTAAGCACATTAGGTATAAATGTATAATATGATTTATTAATAATGCACTTCACCCTTATGTTGTTTAGGTCATAAAATAACTTTCCATATCAATATTGACATTGCTGTCTATTTGCCTATAATATAAAAATCTGTGATAAATGAGCAGAGTGTTCATATATAATCAGGGCTTAAAGTGGGAAAAAATTCCAGAGGGGACTAATGTCTCCATATAGCTTTAAGTGTTCCGCCGTTCCATATATAATTTTATGTAAAATGTCTAATGTATAAAACCCTGTATACAATATAAATTAATTGTTAATACAGGATTTTGTGAAAATATTTATATTATAATAAGTAATAACTAATAAGTATAAACATACATCATATGCACTAAATACGGCGTGGTAGTAGACTTAAACATCGACAAAGGTGTGCACTATTGCAATACCCAACAATCCACCGATTAACATGTCGACTTTTTAAAATACCTATCAATAAATTGATTTGCTTACGATAAATTGTGATCCTCCTTAATCACCAGTGCCCTTAAATATCTCTCATGTGGTGGCTAAATCTCAAATATTTCCTTCACCATGCCATTGACGCCAAATTGTATACTTAGAATTTTATAGAACAGACTATGGGTCGAACACGGCCGGGAACGAAATTCATCTCATGAACTATTTACAATAATATATCTTTTTTGGTGCATGATCTGCATATTATGATGTAGGCTATTCTTTTAGAACTGTCATATAGCATAAATATAATATATAATTTATTTTATTTAAATGGCATCAAGGGACAAGGGGACCATTATACGGTACCTGACACTACAACAGTGACAAAAACGTTGGGCATCACTACGGCCCGCGGCCTACATACAAAACTCAATGGAATAAAACTTTCAATAAACCCTTGGCCAACACCCCTTACTGAAAGACGTCACGATTTTATAATCAACTGACTAAGAATAGGACATATACTTGCTTATCACTCGGCTATTTTATGAGAAGAGAAGGACAGGATCAATGCTGAACTTGTGGGGAAGCTCTAACAGTCAAACTTGTCATACTTTATTGTCGCAAGTCGCAACTATACAGCTATACCAGAACTATTTTAAATACATATTGGTACCTGAAAACATATAAAAAAACATTGGGACCTGCAAAATAAAACATCAAGAAAATCCTAGAACTCTTAATAATAACTAAATTGTATTCTAACTATTTTTTTCTTTTTTATTTCTTCTTGTATATGTATACTCTAATATATTTTCTATTGTAAGATTCAAACTGTTACCTATAATATCATAGTGTAAATGTAAATATTAATGTTGTAAATATTGTAAGCCAACAACCCTAGTTAAGGCTCAAATAATATATATATAATATATTTATCTTTTGTTAAAGAAAAAAAATAATTAAAAATACATAATTATACAATAAATTATAAATACTTAACTTGAATTCACAACATTGAATATAATACTACATTAATATATTGTATTAAAATATTATCTTTTTATTAAATTCATTATTTAGTGTTATAACTGTTAAAATAATACTAATTTATTAATTGTGTTTAAAAATATACGTAATACCATTTCATGTATTATTATGTATATTGTATACATCAATGGGAAATGGGAATACTATAGGACCTATAGTATATGTCTTAAGTCTAATGATTTAATGCTTATTTAAAATGTAATTACACTCTTGAATTTAACCGTTTGGATAATTTTTAATTAAATTTCTGGTTTATTATGTACCTATGTATTCCCAAGAACATGTGTATTACCTACAGTGTACATTATAAATTATTTGTATGACTTATTGCTGTTTTTAAGATGCTATTATAAGCATTAAGCCGTATTAATGTTATACGTGATACAAAATTTAAATGTAAAATGTAGCTATATTTTCAAAAATAAAGTCTAACAAATACTAGGTAGGCACCTATTATTTTGAATAATATCATTAATGGAGAAGATTAAGAAGGAGCCATTTATTTTAGACATACCTGAATATTTGTGTGTAAATTATGTATCAAAGCTATTAAAAAATTGTCTAATTACTTAAGTGGATTACAAGAAAGCTTTTTCGTTGTAGAAACAATTATTGAATTATATATGTTCATATCAATTTTAAAGCATGAACCTATTGAACGATAACCCATGGGACCCGAAGTATAATATAATATTATACCCGAAGTATAATATAATATTCAATTATTGTTAATTGTTTTTGTTATTATAATTGTTTCGTCGACGCAATAATGATCGTTTTCGACGCGTGTGGCCGCGTGACAACATACTATAATATCACAGTACCGGTATAATATGTATTGTGTTGGTAATTTGATATGTATTTACAATTTTATATATTTGCGGTGTGATGTATAATATAGCATATTATGATATATTATATATTATACACTACTGAGTACTGACGATGAGAAGAATAATTCGGCGCAGAAAATTTGGTTTCCAGAGAAAGCCATCGACAGCAGTCATAATAACTTTGTAAGTGTAATACCTACCTACGCGTCGTTCTCGTTAGGTAGCAACGATTATATCCGCAAGTATTGACCACTGCTGTACGATTTAGACTATAATGATTTAATATGTATTACCAGACGCATGATATAATAAAATATTATTATGCCAATAAACCGTATACATGTAGGGCATTCAGTAGGTACATAATATATTATATCGTGTCGGTGGGATGTACTTATTAGTTATTAGGTAGGTACCTATACTGCAGTATTTGACAATCTGGACTTTAAGCAGTCATGAGAAATCGTAAAATTCAGAATTTTAATAAAATATGCATGGTTAAAATAAAAATTGTGATGAGCGTGCTTGGTGAATTGCAGAGACACGATGTGTACAAAAATATTATAGTAAAACACTATAACGTTAGGTATCTGATACAACCATCAGACGGGCACAATCCCATTTATAATAATAATATTAATAATTCATCCGTCCGGATACGTCCATAGACTATAGTATGTACAGATCAAATTGTAATTATATATGATATTATTATATGTACACCGTGTGAAAGTATTATTGGAATGTCCGGCATAATACTCACTGCAAAAACACTGCCGTGTTGCGCAATACCACACGACTTCAAGAAAGGTCTTCTTTTTAATATTGTAGAATAAAATAAAAATGCGTTTGTCGATTTATTATACACATCAACCGCTGTCGATCGCATCGTATCGTGCGCTTTAGGAGGTATCTCGTATGCGTCTCCAAGTGTCCAACATCCTTCTGCATATAATATCACTGAATAAACCGTAAATCACTGCAAAACTACAGGCCGGCGACCGATGGCCATCTTCGCTATAATCGAAGCCCTCCAGCCGTTTTGTCGCCACGACTTACATCACTGCACACGCGCACATAATACATACCTAGGTATATAAATATAATATATAAACACACATACTCACACATACCATATCCAATGATAGTACTTACTTACGTAGTTACGTGTGCATAATAGACACTCAGAAATGGATCCATACACACGATCGTTGCGTACAGTGCTACGGTAGTAACTCGGTAGCTACAGAAGTATCCAATGTGCTTACCATATTTCGTTCGCGGTGTGGGTTTATACTTACTCTCACTTATTGAATCGTACACGTTTTCCTATAGCTATTTTCTTTGGTATTTTTCCAAATAATATAGACTTCGCCTTTCATCAAATAATATAGACATCTGCATATGCGACTCCTAGGACATACGAAAGGCTAAGAAAAACACCCCAACAGTATAGATAGTTACTGTAAATACAAGACCTGCACAGTCCACAGGTGTGAGGTACTGAGGTGACGTACCTGCAGGTCACCATGTCGATGATCGAAGGTAGACACACAGCAGTACAGTGAAATTTGTTTAGTACATGACGGAATGGCGTGACACTTAACAATAAAATATCTAGGCCGATAGTAATAAATTCGGAAAATTACCACCGCGAAAACATTTAAATGTCGTTACGGCGGTTGGAAAAAATAGAGGCATCAAATAAACGGGAGGAAATAAACCGTGTAGTGAGTAAGAGGAGGCTGCGCCAGACGAACAACTCATTGGAAAGAGTATCGGAGATGCGGATTATATGGGTGGACACTGGACGGAAAACATCATGGTTGACTTTACCTATATTCATTCCTATATTCCAATTAATTGAATTACGAGGTTATGGAAAATCAGTCAAAAACTACAACATCAGTACAATAATAATATTATGTTTTTCAGTTGACCCCACTTCTATATCATCTACATCAGATTAGAAACTCGTGCCATGAAATAATCTTTTTTCACAATGAATTTTATTAGTTAGTAAATTGACATAGATAATGGATCACAATATTGTACTTACATATAATAATGAATATGTAATATTAGGCACTTACTAGTTACTATACTTCGGTATACTACATTATTGCCTATACCTTAATAGCTTACAATTTTTTGTGTCCATGGACATTTTTCTCACCCAAAAATATAGCAGAGGAGCTTCCATTAGTTTATAGGAAAAATGTAAGTCTATAAATATTTAAAATTAAATAAGTATAAAATGTTTTTTCTTAAAACTAAATTAAAAGTTATTAGTGTCATCGCTACTGTATTTTAGATGAATCCAAAAGCAGTAACTAGCAAATATAGTACCTATATTATATATTAATTTATTAAATTATTTAATAACATTATAATATAGTTATTTTATTTTTTTAAATACCCGATATCGTGTAATATTTAAATACAGCTATAAACCAGATCATTTAATTCTTTGTACACATATTATAATTATTTTACCTATATCGGTAAAACCTTGTTTGGAATTGTTATACCTAGTTGTTCGTCTTAAATCAAAAGTGAGTATGTCAGAGCTCATTTCAAGAAGAATGAGGTCGTACCTGCTTTAAGAGAGAATTATTTCAATAATCCGTTTGTATAACTATTCGTTAAATTGTTTATCAATTGTTAAATTTGTTTAATTTAAGCTACTATTTAAATATGTATTTACTCTTTAATTGCTATGTTACACCTTATATATTCTGTTCAAAAAACTGTATGGCGTTTAATAAATAAAATAAATAATCGTAAATTACATATTAAGCGGATAAATGTGAGATACTATATAGTTAAGAAAATCCGAACGATGGTCATAAATGAATACGGTTAGGTATAACAAATCAAATTGAATCATAATAATAATACTAATCATACTAATCATAATTATAATACTCATTACTAGGGCTCGGATTTTGTAGAAAATGCTTCTTTTGAGGGGAGTGACATAGAAAGATAATTCTAATACATTGCTTTTTCCCCTATTTGGTTCTCTTTTCTTGATTTTTACATATTTTTCTCGAAAATTTAACTTATTTCTATGTATATTATACTTGGACTTTATTATTTTAATCAGAAATAATAAAACCAGTGAAAAAACCAGTAATTAATGTATGACTGATACTATGGTTATTATGCCGAAATAGTTTTATCTACAATTATCTATAGTTGTATTTACGACTCAAGGAAAGGGAAAATTATCGGAATTATACCTGGGTATTTATATGGCACTCTCTAATACTTTAGTTGGCCGGTAAATATCAATCGACAATCAGTGAGGTGTAGACGTATAGTGTTCTAATTAATTTCCCTATAATCGTTATTGTAAATAATTTTTTTTTTAGAATTAAATTAATAAATGCTTTTTTTTTTGCTTTTTTTGGCTACTTAAAATGCTTTTTCAAGGATTTATTTTGCTACAAAATCCGAGCCCTACTCATTACCTATATAAGCTCTTATTTGTGCTCACTTCGCTCAGAATGTAATAGGTAGTGTAATAAAAAAAATGACAATACAATCAGAAAAAAAAGTTGAATATTATTTTACTTAATATATTTTATAATTATTTGGAGAGAAACAACAATATTTTTTAAACTTACTTTAGTATTTATTATTTAACTTCTATATAGTTTCAATAATGATTTTCAAATAGTACCTATAGATAATAAGAGAAATTTCGAAGATTCGATCATAATATTATTAAGTCAGTAAATATTAAATGTCTATTATTAAGCTTAAGAATAAATAACAAATTGTATTATGCCTTGTTTGTGCGTAGCACACTCCAATATCTATTTTGTAATCGTAATTCGTAACTTTGTAAGTATATTTATAAAGTAAGTTATATCATAAAATATTAAATTTTAATTCTTCTGTAGATATCTTAGCTATAATGTTATTTCCATATATTAGTACCAAATGGATTAGCTAAGCTAATGCTAATAACTAAACAGTACTGTTGATTAAACGGAATTGATGATTATAGTATTATACAAAACGGAAATAAAAATGTAATATATATATATATATAGTTAGGTAAGCGAGAAAGATGCCGTAACTTGTAAATAAAAAAAAATAACACTTTCACATTAAATTATCTAAAGTAACGCATTGCTAAAAATATTTTGTGAAAGCTTTATATAGATAATATGTTTATATCATTTACAGGTATATACTAATGTTATAGAATAAAATAATACTTAAGTACTAATTAATAATAATTAAATGAATATATTATACAGTAAAATGTATTCAACACAGAACAAGAATGTTTTTATGCAAACGACGATTCCTTGTTTAAGTTTATTTTATCTTTTGATAGGTATGTACTGTTGAATTCTCTATGATTTGAACATTTTAGTAAACAATATTTATCCAACAACAAAAAATATATTTATAAAAAAACAAATTTTTGGCACGGGCTGCAAAGTTGAGCAGGATAGCTAACTATATTATAAAGTAGGTAGTAAGTGGTTTTTAGTTTGTCGCCTTAGTTTTACCTGGAAAACTACTGAATCAAATTTTCTGAATTTTCACATATTTGTGCTTGATAATCCCCTGAAGTGTTTTGTACCAATTTTAGTATTCGATATCCACGCTGTCGCTCTTTCTAAACAAGTTTTTAGCTGAAAATAATTAAACCAAATTACTTTTTTTGATTTACTTTGGTAACACAGCCAAATAAATAATTTTGTTATTTAGTTAGCATGTGTCAAATTCAGGTTTGTCAGGATTGCTTACAGTTTTAGACCTGTATTTTTATAATATGTTCAAACCCCCCAAATGCGACTGTAAATCAAGCATCTTACATTTTTACTGCCACCTCCTCAAAAAAAACCGGTAGCGGTGTCGTATGCTATCTACGCACTGAATATTATCTACACATTGCTATTTACGTATAAATTATGTCGTATGCTATCTACTTCGTTTTAAACCGGAGCACTTCATAAATAAATAAAGATTGTCAATGAATGTTCTTAATTAAAGTTGAAAAGTATTTTTTATATCAATAAAAAATGTTTCAAACGTATTTGTTGTGTTTATGGAGCGCCACCATTCTTCTTTAAGCTGCCTTTCCAGCAAATTAGTGCCACCATGCGATTTTATACCATATTTCACCTTTATATGTCGCCAATAACATTCCATAGTTTGAGTTTCAGCTCCTGTTTGTGGATCAATGAAATTAATTTTATGATTTACGGTATTGTGGATATAGCCATGATCGTTTAAACAACTGTAAGCTTTCCATTCATCTGAAAAATGGTCGTCCCTACTCCCTGGCTCAATTTCTCTTTTAATAATTGGAAGCAAAGTGGCAAAGAAGCAAAATATTTGTAGATAGCATACGACACCCCTACCCGATAAGGTATTTGTAGATAGCATACGACACTAGTATTCAGTGCGTAGATATCATACGACACCGCTACCAAAAAAACATACATCATTGTAAAACGATACATTCAACGCTCCACTCAGAATCTAAAACGCAACCTCTACCTATTGCTGTATATTATTATTATTTAATATACAAAGTTTTGTTTTAGGTTTTTAAACATAAGTTTAGAACAGTAGAATTCCGTATACTCGTTGTGTCCGTTCGTCCGTAAGGTAGTTATAACTGATAGGTTCATCGTTATGTTATTTTTGATATTAAGATATTAATTTATTTTCCTTCTAGTTACTGTAGTAACATATTCGTAGTTACGACGAATTATGATTTTTTGTATTGAGAATTTAAGATATTTAATTACGGTTGTTTATATTTAGATAATTACTTATTGTATAAATATTTAAAATAGTTTCATACTAATTACTAACCAAAATAAACTATTCAATTATTTAAGTTTTTTTTTTTTTTTAATTGATCTTTTTAAATCCCGGCGACTATGGCCATTAGCTTGATTGTAGGGTTTATGATTGTAGGTAGTAGGGTTTGAAATTGTAGGGTTATTACACGTGTGTGTTGTGTTTGGCAGAATTTCTATTGGGGCACCTGTAGGTTTCTGCCATGCCCCGGAGTGGGGGATGGCGGCACTTGTTCTCCGGACACCGTGACTTGCCCGGAGAAAAATGCCGCCCAGTGGTCGAGAGAATCGAACCCGCGACCTCCAGCGCCGCAGACGACGTGTTCGACCGCTCGGCCACCTCGTCCCCCTTATTTAAGTTTATTACGTTGTATTAAAATACGTTTGGAAACCAGGAACGTAGCACGCTCACAGAGGGAGCTTTCCTAACATGTTTAGTATGTACCTATTATTAGTTAATCATAAAATGGTTGTTTGTTAGTTTTAGATTTCTAAACATATGTTAAGAACACCCACCTTATATATATCCTTTGTGTTCGTCCGTTAGATGCCAATACATATAGTTACGATTATAGATATATTAAGGTATTTATATTTATTGTCCATAGCAGGGGTGGACTGGAGTAAAAAGTCGGCCAGGGCGATCATAGGTAAAGGCCCAAAAATTACACAAATATACATTTTTTAATGGCAATAGCTTAGACAGAAGGAACTAGTACCAAGCTACAGTTTTATAGATTGCATAAAGTAGGTACCTACTGACAAAATAACCACGGTCTACTGGCCCAATAAACCCATGAGGGCCCGCAATCATAACAGCCCAGGAGGCGATTAATACCCACTTGCCCTTCGGCCCAATCTGCCCCAGGTCCATAGTTACTGTACATAAATTGTATATTTAATTATAATTTATTGCGTCGTATTAAAATATGTCTAGAAATCGGGAATTTAGCACACTCGCAGAGTGAGCTTTCCTAACTTGTTTGTTATCTGCACACCATACTTCATAAGAATTGAATGTTTAAAACATAAATAATTTTAAAAAGCACATTAATTCATTGACTATAATTGTGGGTCGATTTTCATTTATTTGTGAATAATAATAATTAATAATACTAAAAAACTAGATTCTG